AATAAATTAAAGTTTGTATGTATTGTTTAATGGACTTCCAAATTGGCCACACCTACCATTACATGACCACCTAGCCATGCCCACCCAGCCGGTTCAGCCCCCCAACAGTCTGAGGGACCATGAATTGGCCCCCTGTTTAAAAGGTTTGAGGACTCCGGTCTACACAAAATAACTCTTTGGTTATTAGGTTCACCTGTCATTCATGAGATTAAGGATATATGCATAATGCCCCATGAGGTAACCTGAGCTGACAATGATTCGCTCAAAGTCACTCTGAGTCACTATAGCTGAGGATGGACTAGAACAGTTATAGTTAACCTTTTCAGCACCGAGTGCTGAAACTGGAGCACACACGCACATGCATGAGCCAGAACATTAGAACCTGGAAGAGAGCAACTGGCCGGTGCACAAGCGCATGGCGGCCAGCTGCTATTCCGGTTTCTGTCATGCACACACCTTTGCGTGAAAACCGGCTGGCCGGCACGCATGCGCACACTGGAACCCGGAAGAGAACAGCTGGCCGATGCGCATGCATGCTGGACTAGCTGTCTGGCCCACATGCGCATGATGGAACCCGGAAGAGCAGCTGGCGAATGCACGCATGCCCACAGAGTAGGCTCTGCGTGCCATCTCTGGCACGTCTGCCATAGGTTTGACATCATGGGACTAGAACTGACAGTACCAACATCTTGACTATACTGGGTCTTCATTTATTCTCTCTTTGAATATAGACGTTGTTCAAAAATTGTTCCCAAATTGTTACGAATGGGAAAATCTTTTTCTATTTTTTAATCTAATTGAGAGCAAAAGCAAATCTACAGGTGCTGAGATGTGATAGATGTGAATTTGCATTCTTTACTGTGATGTGAACTGCAATCAGGAAACAGAGGGTTTTTTTTCCCCATTTCATGCACACATGAAATCTTTTAACCTGGATATTTGCTTACACTGAAAGATTCTATGATTGCATTGCATATATTTATACAGGAGCAGAAAAGTAATGATTAGGTTGATAACAAATGCTGCACTTAGAACCTGTATTTCAATTTCTTCAAGTAGCTTTGCAGTCCTAGTAAATACATATCCATTTTCATATGAGCATTTTTGGTTTAAAGTATGTTTATGCATTGTGTAAAACCTTCTTTACTGCCCTATTTATTCTGAATTCCAAAAGCTCTGATTTTACAGAAATGAAACTGCTTTTAAAGCTGAAAAAAAATAATATTCAGCAACCTTTAATGTCTTAATGAGATGGAGTTTGTGATGCAGAACTATTGAGTGGTGTGAGAGGAAGAGATAGCATAGAGGAAGAGGAAGAGATGCAACAGTATTAACTTGGTGTGATGCACAGCAGAAAAATAAATTCCAATAGAAGAGAATGTATGCAGCTCAGGGTTGAACTGTCCTTGGTGCTCTCTGAGCTTGGTTGTTTGCATGCAAATGTTTCATTACCCAATTAGGTAACATCATCAGTGCTAGTTAACCAGTGCTCAATCCAAAACACCAGAGAATCCCTGGGAGCTTGGCATTCAAAAAAATCAGCAATCAATAAACACATAGAAATAAACCACATTTACACACCATTCAAGAAGCAATAAAAAAGCTGCTAAGAAAACAAAAAAAGATCATAACACATTCTTAATCAACACCCAAATAAGCAGGAATTAACATCAGATAAAGAATCGGGAAGACAATAATTAATCAAGGGACTACTAAGGAGAAAACCATGCCCATCAGCCACCTTGAGATCCATAGTTATACATTACAGGTAATCCTTGACCTACAGTTCATTTTGTGACCTTTTGAAATTACAACAGCACTTCAAAAAACTAGCTTATGACCATTTATCACACTTACGACCATTGCAGGATTCCCAAGTGATCAAAATTTGGATCCTTGGCAACTGACTCATATTTATGACGGTTGCGGTGTCCCGGGGTCATGTGATCACCTTTTACGAACTTCTGACAAGTGAAGCCAGATACCCTTAACAACCATGTTACTAATTTAACAACTACAGTGATTGACCATAGTTTTTGGACTATAAGACGCACCAGAGTATAAGACTTTGAAGAGGCAATTTTTTTAAAAAAGGTTTTTGCACTCTACAGGCCTCCCAACCTCTCTGCATACCTCATTTTTTGCGAAAAACAGCGGGTTTGAGAAAAGTGCTCCTGGGGGTTGGGGGGCAAAAATGAGCAAAAAAAGCCCGTTTTTTCCATAAAAACAGGACCATTTTTTTTTCAAAAAACAGGGAATGCATAGGTTTTGGGAGGCTTGTAGAGTGCTCGGGGGGAGGGCAAAAACCGGCCCATTTTTCGCTTGTTTTTGCCCTCCCCAGCCCGGAGGAACCCTTTGCAGGCCTCCCAAAGCCTATGCACATCCATGTTTGCAAAGTGGGTGGGATTTTGGGAGGCCAAAAATGCTGTATTCGGTGTATTTCACCCTCTTTTTGAGGGGCAAAAAGGTGCGTCTTATAGTCTGAAAAATTCGGTACTTAACAACTGTGATAGGAAAGGTCATAAAATGGGGCAAAACTAACTTAACAAATGTGTCGCTTAGCAACAGAAATGTTGGCCTCAGTTGTGGTCATGTATCAAGGACTACCTGTATAAATTGGACAAATAAAATAATTAATAAAATAAAACACTAGAAGAGCAAGCTACTGTATATAAATACGAAACAAGCTCCACGCTCAGTAACACTGATGATGCTACTTAGTTGGGTCATGAAACATCTCCGATCAAACAAGCAAAACCACTTAGCACTCAGGACTCCACAGAAAAATAAATTTCCCATGTCATTCAGCACAGAACCTCTAGGAATTGATCCTTTTAAGTAAAGTTTACTTCAACTGAGGATTATACAAGTGTCCTATTTTTGTTGCAGACAGGCAATCATAGAATCATTTCTGATAAAGTTGAGCTATAGTTCATTATGTTTGTTATTCATTTGCATTCTGTATATGAAGTGCATATACAGAATACAAATAAAAAGTGAATAGACATTCTATGCAAGTTGAAGCATAGGCCTTGCTTTACATAAATTAGCTAATCGCAGCTATTCAGATATTTAATTTTTGAACTGTAATCTTCAGATTATTTTTACAATTGTGGAATGTATCATATGTATGTATATTTTTATCTATTTATAGCATAAATATTATGGACACAATAACCAATTCCCTACTCCGGCATACTGGACTGAATCAAGCTTTGTACATTGTAGAATTTCACTTGTGATAGGGAGCGGTGGATGGTTTCAATTGATGAAAATTCCAAGAAGGTAGACAGCACTCTGCAAAAATAGTTCACCTCTTTCTTCCACCACAAAACTTAGAACATAAAAGAAGCCCGACTAGATTGAACAAAGGGTCATTTAAATCCTGCTTATTTTTTGCAGTGGCTAATCGGAGGCCATTGGGGTAGTCATGAACAAGAAATGATATATCCTTCTCCCATGGTTGTTACTTTGAGCCTAGAATTTGGAAATGTATTGACCAGAGCCCAAATATTCAAGATTAGACCTTCATATATACCCGTACTTCATGAATTGATTCAGTCCCCTTTTAAAGCTACTCAAGTTAGTAATCCATCCAATTTTTTGAGAGAATGAATTCTGCAGATAAATTAGACAACATGCGAAAAATACCTTTATTTGAATTCTCCTTCAAATTAGGTTCATTGGTTCTCTGGTCCTAAGCTTTTGGGAAAGAAAAATTTTCCTTGTGTATTTTTGCCATATCATGTTTGATTTTAAATACTTCTATCACATACCTATTGACCAATCATTTCAAGAGTTTCCTCCATTTATTCTTGAATTCCGTGTATTTTGCTTGCAGAACAGCAAGTCTAAAGGGCAACCATTGCTATTGCAATTGTGTGGGACACGTCGATGTACTTCTGGGTTGAAAAGATTGAAAGGTGACATCACTGTGATTCGGGGGATGCCCAGTTGGAGGCTCTGTCCCCGTTAACTTGCCCACTGAAGTAGTATCCATTTATCTACACACAGCCACCTGCTTTTGAGCTGAGTCGGCAGAAGCTGGAGGGTGACGGAAACTCATCTCGTCCTTAGCAGCAACCAGGTCTTGAACATGAGTCTGCCAATCTTCAGCCCAACATCCTACCCTCGTGAGCCACCATGCTCCTTAGTGCAACCATTGTACTCTAGCCTTCCTATCCATTCCTATTTTAGTTACTCAAGATGTCCCAGTAAAGAAATTATACAGAAAAGACACCTTGGCTTTACCCACAACTAAAGAAGCAATAATTGCACAGGAATAGATTTTTCCTCTCTTGTACCAGTTGCAGTATTCATTGGAATATTATAGGCTATCTCTCAGCCCGACTAAAGACTATAAGCATGCATATGTGCAAAATAGGTTTTTTTTTCTCAGTATTAAGGAAATAAAATTGTATTTCTTCAATTTCCTTAATAGATGCTGCAATCCTGTAGTTATATATTCTACCATATAGATCTACTTCATTGTTTGAATGGATTGGCATGGTAGTTCTTCTCTATCCTTGAACACTGAAAGGAAATGTGTGCAGAATACTCTTGAAACACAGCTGAGCCACCTATCTAACCTCAAATTGAGAGGAATGCAATGATGCGAAAGCTGATGAAAGCCAGCCAGAATAGCTTAATGAGAATTAGATTTTGTGATTATGAAGTGGTAACAATATGCAGCAATGCTATGCATCAGAGGAAACAGAACATCCCAATATAACTGGCTTTTGCTAAAGTTGTTGGAAGATATTTCTAAATTAAAAACCAATTTAAAAATCCAATTCAATCAATTAAAAATGTCAAGTAAAGTTGCAAGGCCATTTTGCTTAGTTAAAGTGTTATATCCTCCAAAGTTTAAATATACTGAATTAAATACAGACTGTCTGTTATGGAGACTCTACTCAGAGAACATGATTTCTGAAGGACTGATTGATTTCCCACTCTGAACCCTGAAAATCTATCATGAAAATTTGGAAGATCCTCTGGAATGTGACAGGTAACAGTTTTTATTATTTAGTGTATGGCATTTGTACATCGAGAATCAGGGAGTCTACAATGTTATTACAGAGTAGTTTGGCTGCCTAAGATGCTAGTTCGTTTAGTTCATGCTTGTGCACTACCCAGGGTGCAACATAGGGGTGGTGGGTGGGGTTAACTAGCTGCACATAGAGGCAACAGTGAGGGGGCACAGGGAACCAGCCAAATATCTTCATAAACAATAACACTGTTCTTCACAAGCAGCAGTATCTGCTGTCCTTAGATCCTTTGAATGGATAAGCAACTGTGAATCCCATTCACAATACTTTACATTTGTCATGCTAAATGTAATACAGAAAACAATCTTATCACTTGTGCTCAATAAATATGTAGTTTTTTCTTATTTTTGCTTATCTCAATGGATAAACCTTTGATTCTGTTTAGAATGGGCAAAGTCTAAGGGGCAGGGTAGAGGCCACTGGAACCCATCCACTCAAAATAGCAAGACCAAAATATTCTGGTTTTTCTTCATATTTTAAGACTGAAATTCTTTCTTCTTCCATTCTTGCCTCTAAAACCACCTTTATTCCCTGAACCATTTTGGGGGAATTTAATCTACAACAGCAGATCTGGACTGCAAGCCTTCAGATAGCTACGACATGGCATCTACATCTTTTAAAATCTTTTGTCATTTTAATCTGTTTTTATTATTTTTCTGTTTTTTACACTATAAGCTGCTCAGTCATCATGAACCACAAGACGAGCAGCATATAAATTTAATAAATAATAATCTGGTAGCCCTAGTGCAAGATAAAACGGAAACATTACAATTCCCATAAATATGCTATTTCCATCTTTAAATCCTACCAAACTGCCAAGCTTATGTACAATCAACTCCAAAAATATGAATTCTGGATTGGTTTAGAGGGGCAACAGCAGAAATGGAATCCAAAAGCTGCAACCATTTTAATCCCAATTATTAAAGGGGGGGGGGGGAATCCAAAATGTGACAATTTTATCACCAAAATTTGCCAGCGCAGATGCTGAGAAGTGAGATTGCTCATTCCTGGTTTATACTTTAATATGTTGTGTAAATCTGTTCAATAAATTATAGTTACACCCAACCTGGCTTAATGCGTGAACTCAGTATGAACTGGAAAATATATTAAAAGGTGTTTTTTCTTTTAAGAATACCCAGCTTATAAAATCACCACTCAATATATTTAACTAAAGAGCATTTATTTTATTTTTCACTATGATTTTTCACTGCCTCCAAGTAATACTACTGATCTCCCCTTCTCTGAGGAGTACATATAGCAACGGTGGCAAAGGAGATGTGAATAATCTTTAGGACCTTGAACAAAATAAACTAAGAAACGTGAAAAATTAAAAATTAAACTTCTGTAAAAGACGTTTTCTTCTGGAATTGAACAAGTCTCTTACAGTTCTAACTGACTCAGTCCTAGTCATAGGTTTATAAGAATGAACAGTGGACTACAATACAAGACTTTCACTACAGAATGCTGTACACACCTGATGTTCACACCCTCCCTCAGTGCCCCATTATTTGCTTGCTTGCTGAGCTTGTCTGCGGAGAAGAACATAGATCTTCTCCTTTATCCAATCTTTATTGTACGGCTGGTATGTCTGAGTATCAGCACGATAGCTGGTAGGAAAAAAATAGATAATATTTTTAATATTGCTGTTCATCATACATTTCTGTAAAACATTTTCTTAAAACCAGTGTAATTCTCAACATTTTGAAATCCCCTATTTCCAAGAACAATTATTCTGTCTTTCTGAAGATTAACAATTATTTCTTTGAATGTAATTCTATAACAATGTTGAGGCAGAAATTAAGCACACACTATATTCATTTTAATAAAACCAACACTTTTACTCCTTTAAAAAAAAAGCTTAAGATCTTTGAATTTTATTGTAGACATACACCATCAATATAGTATAGTATGTCATAAAAGGTGCAGTATTAGATGTATAATTTAGACTGTTAAAGAGGTATATATTTGTTTACTTAAATATCTTATACAAGTCTGTATATATTTATATATTTACTTGCCCAATCTGTAAAATATAATTCTGGGCAGTTAGCAATATGACATGAATGCCCTCTGGTGGCTTCCTAAAATCTAAACACTCTATGACAAAAAAGGGGAAAAAAAGAAAAATCAAAATATTAGCTGTCTTTTTAAGGAAAGTGCTGTTTAAAGTTGTTCTGCCTTTACAAAGGAATACATTTTGAAAGGTCCACTATCACAACACTGGAGTTAGCAATTAGTATACTCCACTACTCCATGGTTTCCATAATCTTCTAATTAAATGGGTAATGTTGCTTAGAAATTCATAATAAAGTATCACCAATATGTCAATGACACCCAACTTTATTTCTTCACAAGAGAATTCAGTAGGACAATAGAAGTGTTGAAACAATAATAATGGAGAGGTCTGACTAGAAAACCAATTTTACTATAGGTAAAATGGAAGTACTTGATGTTAGATGCTCAACAAAGGAAGTAAGGCTTTATTCTTTATTAATCAGAAAATTCTTACTCAGGGAATGCTGCCTGATCTTGACCTTAATATGGATGCTCAAATTTACAGTGTTAAGCTGTTGCTCCTCTAAAATATAAACTCACTGTGATTATGCATGCTATTGCAATATGCACATAAATAACATTATTCTAATGTTGCAAATCTTGAACCTGATTTGGAAACTTCTACTTGTTTAGAGCATGACCACCAAAATATAAACTATATACTATTCTGAATATATACACTTTGTCTATGCACTGACTTTCAGTGAGCAACTGGGCTCAAATTAATGGACTAGTTGTACTGAGTGTGCAGCAATCTGGAACTGAAAGGGCAAAGGACATTTGAAGGGATACTTAAGGTATTGTGTATACCTGTGAGAAAGTCCTTAAATGAGCTAGGCTTATTTTAAGGAGATTTCAAAAGATGTGCCCTCCAAATTAACTTTTTTTTTTCTGTGAATCCAGACTGCTCCACAGTTCTACTAAAAAGATATATGCAAAGAAATGCCTCCTCCAATATGAAGCTGGCTAAAAACCAAGAATCTCAAGAGTACCTAGTCCAAATGTCTACACTAGAAGACTTCAATATAATGATCAGGTAAAAGTCTCAACTATGATACATCTCCTCCAGGGGATTTTTCGTTCAGCTGATAAACTGCACAATTTATATCATTCTGGGAAATCTTTTCCTTTTAAGCCTTTATAATATTCTGTACTGTTACATCAGTCCTTTTTAAAGTAGTACATAAAATCAACTCCCTCATAAAAGTATATCAGTGAATTAGTACAATATGAAATACGGATGGATGTATTCCTAAATAATTTCACTGTTCTAAAACTTGTTGCTATTTCTCTTTATACTGAGATTATTCAATAAAGAACTGTTGACATTCCATTAGGATTAGATTGTACTTATAAAACATACATAAGGTGAGAGAGGACTTATCACTAGTTTTTATCTCACAGCAGAAAACTATACACCCAAGATATACTTAACTTTGATTCACATAAGTTTTTGTCAACTCTTTATTAACTACTTCCCTCATATCCTATTTATTCCATGAACTTTTGTTGCTTTCATGGAATTAAGGTTATTAATTAAGGAATTAATCAAGTCGACAAATTGGAAATATCCTCCATGTAAACATTCTTTGTAGAGCCAGTTTGGTGTTATGCTTAACAGGCTAGAAACTGAGAGACTGAATCCTAAATTTTGTTATAGGCACAAAGTCAGCTGAGTGACTTTGGGCCAGTCACTATCTCTCAGCCCTGGGAATAAAGCAATGACATCACCATCACTGTCACCATAAAAAAACAACTGGTCAAGAAAACTGCAGGGATTAGTCCAGGCAGTCACCAGGAATCAAAAGTGCAGCAATCGCCATTTTCCGCTACATGATAGGTATAAGCTGTGGAATTCTAGTATTTTGACAATAGCCCCAACATGTTAACACTGAATGCAATCCAAATCAGGATTTTGTACTCCATCGTCAGCTAATTTTAGGCTTGTAATAAATTATAAGCTAGCTAAGCATTGGTTCTACAATGGTGAATGAAAATTAAGAGGGGATTTTGTGAGATGGGTGGTGATATTAATTTGATAAATAAATACCTTCTAGATAATCAAAGCAATATCAGTAAATTATATGTTTCAAAAACATATTTATATTTACAGTAATACTCATCAAATATCTCTCACATTCAAGAGGCAGAAGAATAAACCAGCACATTAAAGGCTAATTACGTATGTGCAAACCAGCATATGTACAGTGGGGCAAAAAAGTATTTAGTCAGCCACCAATTGTGCAAGTTCTCCCACTTAAAAAGATGAGAGAGGCCTGTAATTGACATCATAGGTAGACTTCAACTATGAGAGACAATATGAGAAAACAAATCCAGACAATTACATTGTCTGATTTGGAAAGAATTTTTTTGCAAATTATGGTGGAAAATAAGTATTTGGTCACCTACAAACAAGCAAGATTTCTGGCTCTCACAGACCTGTAACTACTTCTTTAAGGGGCTCTGTATTAATAGCCCGTTTGAACTTGTTAGCAGTATAAAAGACACCTGTCCACAACCTCAAACAGTCACACTCCAAACTCCAATATGGTGAAGACCAAAGAGCTGTCGAAGGACACCAGAAACAAAATTGTAGACCTGCACCAGGCTGGGAAGATTGAATCTGCAATAGGCAAGCAGCTTGGTGTGAAGAAATCAACTGTGGGAGCAATAATTAGAAAAAGGAAGACATACAAGACCACTGATAATCTTCCTCGATCTGGGGCTCCACGCAAGATCTTACTCTGTGGGGTCAAAATGATTACAAGAACAGTGAGCAAAAATCCCAGAACCACATGGGGGAACCTAGTGAATGACCTGCAGAGAACTGGGACCAACGTACCAAAGGCTACCATCAGTAACACACTACGCTGCCAAGGATTCAGATCCTGCACTGCCAGACATGTCCCCCTGCTTAAGATAGTACATGTCCGGGCCGGTCTGAAGTTTGCTAGAGAGCATTTAAACAATCCAGGCATTTGGATAATCCAGAAGAGGATTGGGAGAATGTCATATAGTCAGATGAAACCAAAGTAAAACTGTTTGGTAGAAACACAACTCGTTGTGTTTGGAGGAGAGAGAATACTGAGTTGCATCCAAAGAACACCATACCTACTGTGAAGCACAGGGGTGGCAACATCGTGCTTTGGGGATGTTTCTCTGCAAAGAGACTAGGACAACTGATCCGTGTACAGGAAAGAATGAATGGGGCCATGTATCGTGAGATTTTGAGTGCAAACCTCCTTCAGCAAAGGCATTGAAGATGAAACGTGGCTGGGTCTTTCAGCATGACAATGATCCCAAACACACTGCCTGGACAATGAAGGAATGGCTTCGTAAGAAGCATTTCAAGGTTCTGGAGTGGCCTAGCCAGTCTCCAGATCTCAACCTCATAGAAAACCTTTGGAGGGAGTTGAAAGTCCGTGTTGCCCAACAACAGCCCCAAAACATCACTGCTCTAGAGAAGATCGGCATGGAGGAATGGACCAACATACCAGCAACAGTGTGTGTGCCAACCTTGTGAAGACTTACAGGAAACATTGGACCTCTGTCATTGCCAACAAAGGTTATATAACAAACGATTGAGATGAACTTTTGATATTGACCAAATACTTATTTTCCACCATAATTTGCAAAAAAAATTCTTTCCAAATCAGACAATGTGATTGTCTGAATTTGTTATCTTTTTGTCTTTCATAATTGAGGTCTACTTATGATGTCAATTACAGGCCTCTCTCCTCTTTTTAAGTGGGAGAACTTGCACAATTGGTGGCTCACTAAATACTTTTTTGCCCCACTGTATATATAACTGTAGAAGTAAAATTGTAGATGTTAAATTATATGATACATACACAAGGCAGCTAAGGTCAGCCAAATCATCGATGAAATCAAATAACTGGCTAATATCATATGTAATGGAAGGGCTATTAGGATTCATTCTCTTCAGGTGTTCTTCATACATTTTACAGACTCCTAAAAAAGAAAAGAATGGTGTTTAGCAGTTACATTACACATTTGTGCTACCTAGTTGTCAGAGTACTTGAATGTTAAAAAATACAAAGAAGCAATCTGAAGAGAAATATGCTAACACTAGGAATAAATGTTAATTCATCTATTTGTGAGTGGATAAATACAAATACCTTCACAATTTTGTATAAGAATTGCAAGTGAGTAAGATATACATTCATCATTTTCAATCTTCTAAATCATACTAAATATCATGTAATCTAGATATTGCCTCATTATTCTGCATGACTGACTATAGTGCCCAAAGCTGAGGGATATTGGGGTTCATAAGATATCCTTGTGTCAAACTGCTAGAGCAGGAGTCATCAATGACATTTACTTCATTAATCTAATAAAAAGTACAGACTTTACAATTATGCAATGTTTTCAATTTGATTTAAAAGCAGTGTTTCTAAGTATACAGAAGCACCTTTCTGAAATTAACTACAGGTAGTCCTTGACTTATGACCACAATTGAGCCCAAAATCTGTTGTTAAATGAGACATTTTTAAAGTGAATTTTGCCCCATTTTATCATCTTTCTTGCCTTGGTTGTTAGGGAATCACTGCAGATGATAAGTTAGTAACCCAGTTGTTAAGTGAATCTGGCTTGCCCATTGATTTTGCTTGTCAGAAGATCACAAAAGGTGATCACATGATCTTGGGACATAGTAACAGTCATAAATACGAACCAGTTGCCAAGCATCTGAAGTTTGATCACATGATCATGGGGATGCTGGAAAGGTCGTAACTGTGAAAAATGGTTATCAGTATGGTCAGTGCTGTTGCAACTTTGAACAACCATTAAACAAACTGTAATAAGTTGAAGGCTACCTGTATTATTTTAGTTGGCACATGGTACAAGAATACAAGATTTATTAGCTATTTTCCTTTAAAACTCATTTAAAGATTTTAAAAAATTACCTTCCATACATTCATTTACAGATTCATAATCTGCGTAAGTCCTGCCTTCAGGCCGTTTGGTAGGCTGAACAAGCAGAATTGTATGAGACTGAAAAGGAAAGACAACAATCTTAAAAGGGCATCAACAATAAGTGTGAAAAAGTTAGATGTGACAAAAATACAAATATTTTTGTTCCTGTGCACAAATTTTTACATACAGAAACCAAGGTCGTTTTATTCTGATGCATACATACTACGGGAAGATTCATCCTTCCATTTCAGCGATAGTCCCGCCCTCCCCACCCAATAGCTCTCGACCTATTTTTTCCAGTACAATTATATGTTTTTTTAAAAACCACTGTAAAATTCTACCGATTATAATTCAACTGTTACTACTCCTATTCGTTTTATCATCGGAAATGTTTTCGACTGTTTTGTCTATAATCCACTTTCAAATCATTTAAAAAAAAAAAACAGGTGATAAAACGTTCCAAAACATTCCCTTCTGCTTGAAGGGAACCGTTACTTCTCTTCTCTGTTCAAGGCGGGCCTTTTCCTTTGGGGCTTTGGCAAATACAACGAAGGCCAGGGGATCAAAAAAAAAAAAGTCTTCTGGAAAACTCCGGAGTTGGATGGGGCGCTGGCTGGCAACCCCTTTCCGAGTAGGCCCCCCTGAACATCCCTTCCGAGAGCAGGTTGGTCCTTCTGTCCCAATATTGGAAATATTGTAGGGAATATTGTGAGAGGGAAAGGGGGGGGATCCCAGTTAACGGGCCGACCTCCCATCGCCGCCATGGCCACCTCAGGCCCACTGCGAAGGAGTAACGAGACGAAGGTGTTTCATTCACGTGGAGGCCCCAGCTTATTTATTTATTATTATTTTTGCAAATAATTTCAGCCCGCCTTTTCAGGCCTCAGCCTCATAAAACGACGACCACCCGCGCTTTATCTCCTTCGACTCACCATGGCGACTCGTTCCGCTCGGCTCAGGCGCGAAGCACAAACTCCCCACGACGCTTCTTACCACAATGCACCGCGGCTGCCGGATGCAGGGCACCTAGTCTTTCGTGCGTTGTAAACCCCTCCCGCACCGCGGGTTGAAACCATAGAGACGCCGTTGCTTTCGCTCTCCGGTTTCAGAAGCTAGAGAGGCCTCTATGCTTGTCCCGCGAGATTCACACACACACACACACACACAAAGACACAGTTTTTTTTAAAGGAGGCGGAAGTTCTCATCTGGTGTCGCCCATCTTTGATAAGGGCGTCGCTGCTCCCAGACTTCATAACAGCACGCTGGAGTTTTTAAGTCTGCCATCTTACATTGGGCCGGAAGGGAAGGAACAACTAAACCTGGACTGAATAACGTTTCCTTTCAACTGCCAAGTCTCCCGGAAATTGAGCAGGGGAGCGGAAGTGGAGGGCCGACTGCCACTTGGCCTTTTCGGCGTTAGCGGAGGGAGATGAGAGATAATAGTGGGTTAGGCAAGAAAAGGGCGGGCGGGTTTTGTTCCCGCCTTCTGTTTCCATGGGTGTAATTGCTTATTGGCTGAGGAGGAGTTGAGCTTCGGTAATGAGGCCTGGTTCGCCTGCCCGCCTTCCCTCTGAAGAAAGCGGGGAGCCTCTTGCCTGAGCTGAAGGGAGCCCAGCTGAGGGGAAGAGGAGAAGCCGGACTCCGGGGCGGGACTTTGAGAAGCAGCCTCTTCGGGGGGTTTCCGTCAGTCTCGGCAACAAAACAGTTTGAACCTCTTGGCTTCTCTTTTATTCTGCACGAAAAACGGGGTGCTCGCCCCGCTTGCCTGACGCTGAGGGGCTCGGCCAAGGTGTTGGCCCATGTGGCTTTATTCGGAGCCGCGAGGGCAAATTCCTCTGCTGAGCCGCTGAGCCTGGAGGAGAAGCCGGCCATGGATGACTTTTTATCCATTAGTTTGCTCTCCCTCGCCATGCTGATCGGCTGCTACGTGGCGGGGATCATCCCTTTGGCCGTCAACTTTTCCGAGGTAAGGAAGGCTCGGTCTGAACACCTGCCGTCCAGGTGTGCGGAGGAAGGCAAGAGTTCCGTAGAGCCGACGGCGTCGGTTTTTTTCACTTCTGAAGACCGATATTGAGGTGGGGGAGGGGGTTGTACAGGACAAATGAAATCAACGCAATAGGAAACGAAAATCCTCGTTAAATAAACTTTAGAATAAGCTCATTCAGGTTCGCGGTTTTTAACCTCAATGCTTGTATTGCAGTACTAGGAAGGAAAAATGCAGAAAGAAAGAAAAAATGTGTCAGCTTTGAGATATCTTGACTACAGGTAGTCCTCGGTTATGAACTAAATTCGTAATTTAGAAGTTACAACAGTACTGAAAAAAGTGCCTTTTGACCATTTTTCACACTTATGACTGTTGCAGCATCCCCGAGGTCATTTGATTTATATCGGGATGCTTAACAACTGGTTCAAGTTTTTGATAGCTGCAGAGTCCTGAGGTCTTGTGATCCCCTTTTCTGACCTGACAAGCAAAGTCAGTGTGGAAGCCAGATTCACTTAACAACCATTTTACTAATTTAACAACTTTGGTGATTCACTTAGCAACTGGGGAAGGAAAGGTTGTAAAATGGTGCAAAACCTACTTAACAAATTTCTTACTTAACAACATAAATTTTGGACTTAATTGTGGTTGTAAGCCAGCCACATACTATACCTATACTCAACTAGAGAATTTTCCTCTCCAATTCTTTGCTCAAAGCCCAGTTTCCTTTTGTGGTGTCAAATATTAATATCTTCAGCAGTTTTAAAGTTTGTCTGGAGTAGCAATCTTTTTTTAAATTTGATATAAGAAATCATTTTGCTGTATGCAACATCCTGATTTTTTCCCCAGATAATTGCCCTATTCTTTTTTCAGTACTGTTGGCTAAAATTTGTTTAAAGAAACCTTACTTCACATAGTAGTTTTTCTCTGATCTCTTGCATATGTGCATTTAAAAGTGAGTGTATTAAAAAATATATACATCCCCACTTTGTATTTATATGCAATGTAGTAAAATATTCTACATTTTGGAATGAATAGTTTCCAATATATTTTAAAAGACTCAGAAAGCTAAAAGCAGCTCTGTATATTAATTGTGATTGTACTCAAATTATGCACGTGATGCCAAAACATCCTGCCCATGATATAAAAAAATATTCTGATTATACAAAGTTTTCTGAAAAATGCACCTTATTTTAATAATGGAAGCCAAATTCAGTGAAGCATATGGAACTGTCACTGAAGTAAGGCTTAATTAATAAACAGCAAGTGCATAGTATGTCTAAAAATAACAAAACAGAATGCCAGGTTAAAATAACTTGAAGAAATTTTAACTATATTTTTATTTTTTTCCATCTTGTACAAATACTATGTTCATAGAAAAAAGAAACACAAAAACTTTCTAGCATGCTTCAAAATTTTGCAAGCCAATTGCCTGGTCATTTAGCTTATTACCTATACTTAATACTTGTGGGTGATCATCAGGTCTGCCTGTTTAGAGAAAATAGGTTCTTTATTTTCCAAATTATGTGAGAAAATAATTTTCTAAACTGGAATTGCTGTAAGGATTTGAAAATGTGAAAATCTCAGGATTGTTTAAATCAAAGAAACTTTAAATAGCTAATAAAATATTAATCTAAATTAATAAATTTAATTTATTAAAATTAATAAAATGTTAATTTAAACTTTTTCTCAAATGTAAATTTATATTGTTTCACACTGAAATCTCTGTCTACTTCTTTGAGTAGCCTCCATTCATTTTCAGAGTTAAATAAGTCTTTATTTCTTCATTAAACTTATTTCTATGCTATGACAATCAAGAGACTCTTACATACTGTGAGCAACCTTCAACTTTTATAAAAGAAGATTAATGTTGCTTTAAATGTGTAAATAAAAAGATATTGTGAATAGCTCACTGTGAAAGCATCGAATGCATATTTCACATACATTTGCATAGTCTAATTTCCTTAATAAAATATAATAACATCAGGTGTCTTGAACAAAGCATTCCAAGAACATTTGTGGATTGTGTATATTATAATTGCATATTTATTGTAAACCATAAAATCTGGCTTTTGTTACTTTTATTAATGTCTGCTTCATCTTTAAAGGATAGGATTATATGCTTTCATATGATCAAATGTTTTACTTTAGATTATTTTTAAAAAAATATGAGACCACCTGTTTTTTTCTGATAGACAGTTCATTGTCATTAAGCTAACGTGCTTACACTGTATTGGCTAAAATGTGTGTTTTATACACATGCACTCCAGAAATCTCTTGAGTGATAAACTTCCCCTTTTGAAATTTGTCATGTTACTGGAATAAGAATCAAACAAGTTATGAAAATATCAATGTAAAGCAGTCCTCGGTTCAGATAATATATAGTACTTAGAAACAATTAATTACTGTATAAAAGAGATATACTATATATCTCTTTTATTTGTGTAAGTAGGCATCCACATTTCTATACTTTGTATTCAGGATGAGGATATTGGAAAAATACCTATTTTTGTGTGTGTGTGTTTTGGAGTGGGAGACAGTAAAGTATATGGAACTGTCACTGAAGTAAGGCTTAATTTATAAACAGCAAGTCCATAGTATGTCTAAAATACTATGGGAGTATTTTACAGGGAGAAAGTACAATATGGTTCAAAGGTCTGATAGCAAAGAGGTCTATGACCTTTTCTAGTTCCAAGCTAAAGATGAAAACCGGTTAGCTGGGTTACAACACCTCAGTTATCCACCATTAAAGTGAGCATTGGAGATGAAGGATGTGACTGTTTTCTCCATATATATTACACACACATATATACAACATTTATCTTCAAATTGCCTTTGATTTAATTATTTTATGTTTTGTTTTCAGGAAAGATTAAAACTTGTTACAGTTCTTGGTGCCGGGCTCCTTTGTGGAACTGCCTTGGCTGTCATTGTGCCTGAAGGAGTACATGCACTTTATGAAGATCTTTTGGAGGGTAAGAAAATAACTCTTATTCTGGTACAAGGAATTTGGAATAAAACAGATCTTTTGCTCAGACTATAAACATTTACTCTTATAGAAGAGAGATTTGTTTTTCCCTCCTCAAAATTAAATGCAAAATGTAGATGCACTTTACTTTTTTAAAACAGATTTTATCGAATGGCACTTTAAAATTTAATTGTGATACATTGCGATTCAAAGCTATATATAAAATTATATAGCTTTTTCTTGGTTAGTTTCTTTCTCCAAGTTTGCTATTTCCTGGCTTTTACACCCAGTTGCAACTGTTGTGATTTAAAAGGGATTTATAAATTGAAATCTTGTAGACTATATGTTCTAGTTCATGTGACCACAGTTCAGCATCCTATGGCTTTCTCTTTTTTATGTTTATAAACATTAGATGATGTTTCAAAAACAATGTAGGAGCTTGAAGGTAATATAGAGGTCAGGGAGAGATCTATTTCTTATTTCCTTCACTTGATCTAGCAACTGGATGTAATTGTGAAGAATCATTGACTGCGGCAGGCTGAAATCAGATGAATAAATACCATTGGAGAATGTATTTAAAATAAGCAAATTTATGCAGTTTATATAATTACATACTTTTGATTGTAACATAGACATTTTGGTAGTACAGTCTCATTTTCTGCAGAATCTCAATACTTTTTTTAAAAAAATAAAACATTTTCCTACCCATATATCAGCAAAATATCACATAATATGACATATGGTTATCTTGCTTGGGCAACTATATATGATTTATCAGCGTCAATATTTTACCAAATGTTTATATTGTCACAAGTAGTCTAAGTTAGAGCACAGTGTGATGGCTTACCTCAGGGGTTCTCAATGGCACTAGGCTGCAGTATGCCAGAGACTGGGCCATGCAAACATGTGAGGCCCCATCCGCAGAATGCAGGCAGCATGCTAAATACCATGCCTCCTCTGGTTTGTGGGGAAAAAAATTCTCCACAGAATCTAGTGCCCAAAAGGTTGGGGACTGCTAGATTACATGGTTAGGACACTGGGTTGGAGGTTAGCAAACGTAAGGACTGCTTGGGGGGGGTGGGGGGGGGGGGGTTAGGTCCTGTCATTTGCTCCAGCTCTTTAACAGGATATAAAAGGACACCCCACCCCCTGCA